TATCCTATCTTTCAAGTTGGATCAAACTGCACTCGGTGTACAAATTTGATTAAAATTGGTGAAGTCGTTTAGGAGTCCATCGCGGACAAACAACGTGACACGTAATTTCTATATATTTTAATATGTATAAAAGGTAAATTCAAATTTTATCTTTTTTAACTTTTGTATGGTATTTTTTATATGTGATCAAAATATAATTATGCCCAATTATCTATTTACCAAAACAATGTACTAAATTTTTATTAAATACGCAGGTATATCTTTATTTACAACGTTCTATTAAAATCCCTTTATTGGGTTCCCTTATAATAGAATGTATCCCTATTATTTATTTTACATTCCAAGTTTTCGTATTTTCGCTATCTCTGACTGACAATAGAACAGAATTGGAGAGGTACCACTCGAAAAACAGTAGATAGATGCTCAAGCATTGTAAGGTTTTATATCCGAAAACAGACAATCGCAATAACAGCCATTTCATAAAACCTATCGTCGAAGAGGATCAAAGTAAGCTCCGAAAGGTGTAACAAACAACACCTTTTTTGGGCGGCCGATCACTCACAGAAGTATCCCTTACGTTTCCCAAACTAATCCCGTATGAAAAGACCTATCGCTCGGATGGTTAATAGAGCCTAATGTCGACACTATGGGTGCCCAATGTGACGCTGATTGCATACCTAACACGGCACCCCCTGCCGTGTACCAACATCTACTATATACAGACTGTCATTTGAACGGGGGAAGCCCAGTTGTCGCAGCTACCGTCACCGCCACCAGGATAAGTGAACGCCTTAATGGATCTATTATGATGCAACTGTAGGACAGGAGGTGATGAAAAATCACGAACAAAGGGACCGAAAAATTGCCGTGTAAGTAGATGGATCATATGATTGACAACGTGAAGCTACCTGAATTATAACGAAGAAACATGTAATGTTTACTGTGCAAGGCAAGCTGGAGCCACGTGGCCGAAAAATCTTTTCGTTTATCAGTTGTACTTTCTATGCTAGGGGCTGGCTTAGGCAATGTGGAAAGATTTTTCATTTTTTTTTTCGACTTTTTAAACATGGAAGTTCAAGGTAAAGTTGATTCGTATGTTTATTAAGTGAAGGATACCGAAATGTAGTAAATACAATCGTACCAATGAGACGGATGAACACATGGAAGGGGCACTCGGTTTAAATCCGGTACTCAGCGTATCCAGCACTTTTCTAGGGTCCAGATAAGTACGCGTAGTTCTTTATGTTAGGTTAGTTTACGGTAGAAAAGACAACACTCACGAAGTGAGGTTATCATTCCCGAGTATTTCTCTTTCTTATTTACAGTAATGTGAACCCAAGATGCATCATATCACAGTAGAAATTGTCAATATTTTGATCGCGTTTATGTTTGGCATGTTCTAAAGACTGTATGTACTTCAACGCTTTAATTTTTAAGCATGGTTCCTACCGTAGGAGAAAATACCCATACGCTCCCAGGGTATATTTTTTACAATAAAATTAGAGTTATGTATCTTTGCGGAAAATATATTTTAAAAAATATTCCATGCATTCTACATCAAAGCCCAAATGGCAATTTTTTATAATGACATCTCAGGCTTAATACCTGGACCCAGGTTACCACTATCCTGTGCATGTTTAGTCTAAATGTTTTGGTTATTGTATTAATAATGTGCTATAAGTAGTTCAATCGAGTATACACAATTTTAATCTAATTTATTTTTAATTTACTTAATTAATTTAGCATATTCTTCAAGATGTAGTAATTTTTGTTGTGATATTATTTATTATTCTTCATTCAAAATTACGTTTGCCAAAAGTGTCAGTTATAGTGAACTTGACAACTTTTAAGCACACTTTAATCAATAAACTTCAAAATTATTCTTTCTGCAAATGAACACAAATTTCTTAAATTAGAACATGGATTTCTTGAAAATAGTTAAATTGACGGATGAAATATTTACACGTAAGAATTATAGTAATGAAAACAACGGTAAATAAAGTAAGTCTTTGTTTAAATTTTAGTTAAAAATCTGGTAACTGCTTTATTTATTTCTACGGTTTCAATTCTATTTTTGGTTTCCCGTATTATACCGCAGAAGACTGCCAAAGGAAAAAATACGTTACTAGTGAAAGTAAACTCACCACCTGAAGAAAATGATATTTCAACATTAAATGGTAAAAATGGTATGACTGATGACAGTGACAGTAGCAATGACGACTCATATTTAGATATGAACTGAGCTTTATAAAATGAAAATACGAAGCCTTTACAAATAAAACAGTAACAGAATATTCTTTATTTCCTGTTTGTGCATTTAATTAATAGTGTAGATCAGAATCAGTAGCGAACTGAGGGGCACGGAGGGGACATTCCGCCCCAGGCTTTTGGTCCTGGGGGGGGGACTTCCAAATCTCTCTGCGAAACAAAACTGAAATACGTTCATTTTAATTTATTACCAAAATGTACTTACAATTTTATTAGTTTCTGAGCAGGCCAAGGGAATTATTTCGTTCTGCCGCACTGAGATTCCGATGGCCTTGGTTCGCCATTAGTCATGAGCCAAATTGTTAAGGGAAACAGGATAATGAAGGTATCAACGTTTATGTTATAAGTCTGAAAACTGGTTGGACACCCACCTTCCTATCTCGAGTCAATTGTCCAAAAACTGAAGCATCTCACATCCTTAACTATTTGCGAGCAGTTTAATCCAGAGTTTCTCATATTTTAGAAGGTGCCCTATCATTCTACCTCTCCTTCCCCTTATTGACTTCCATAGCGCTCTTTATTCACCTAAATTTGTCCAATATGTCCTCATTTCTAACCTTTTCTGTAGAAGATATTTTTATCATCTTCCAGAGCTTTCTCCCTTTCGGTAGCATTGTCAATCCTACAGCATACAGCAACGCAATACTTAAAGCTGTGCAGGGTTTTAACTATTTTGTTAGCGCCTCCATGCGATCGTTTATGGTTTGCGGTATTCTAATGACCTGACTCCGGGCGGAAGAATGACAGAGGTAACCAGTTCTCCTAACTGGACCCCCGTTAAAACTTAAACTTTGCATAGTGCACTTTTTGTGAAACATTTCAAAACTAAGAAAGAAAGAAAACAAACAAAAAGCCAAACAGAGACAGCATTCGGTCAGGTGAACGATAAGGATAAATCTCGGTACTTTAATGATCTGGAACATGTCGGAATATTTAGATTCCCTTTCAATGAACCGGTTCTGACAAACGATAGGAACAAAATAAAGTAGATTCCTGAAAACTGTAATTTCCGTGAAAAATGGACGTTTGGCAACCCCAATAAATAGATATATATATTTAGATAGTATGCATGTAATATTCGGGGAACTTAAGTATAGTATTTTGAAAGATGGTCGAATCTTTTTGTCGCCCTGTAATGGTTGTGATATCGAGGACACTGTAACGATTAACGAATCATTCGAAGTAACAAAGTAAGTGGAAGTGGTTCTTTGGGCACATTTACCTAATGTCAATCAAGCCTGTGTTTAGATAGCCGGATAAAATCGCGTGTTCGCCGTTTAACCTTAGCTTGTAAGCTGCATAAGGAGCATGGTTGCACAAAATAGCCGCCATCACGCAAACGCACTCGGCACGCAACTTGCATAAGTTAACAGCAGTCGAATGTATTTCAACCGACAGATTAACATACACATACACACACGCACGTTTACGTAGACTTCGAAACGAAATAGTAATAACATACCGAATACATTGTCCTTTAGGCTATGAGTCCAGTAATCTGAAACCGGTCAAGACTTACGTTCTCAATGTAATCAACGCCAATGAGTCGTCCCTTCTACTAATTGAACAGTGTGAGTGATATCAATTTCCTTATTTTTTTACGGTTGCAGGCTCTAAATCTACAAATCTAGTAGGTATTGAAACTTTTTCAACCATTAATGGTAACACAATTATAGGCAAATTAGTTAATGAAAATGATGCATAGGTATAATTTTTGTAATCAGTTCGGAAAGTTTAGAAGGTCGTAAAAATGGCATCGTGATGATGTATTTGAAACAGTACTCGAGTGTGTTACACCTATTGAGCGATGTTCATTTGCATCTACGATTTTGAACCAAAGCTGCTTAAGTTGTTTGCTCATGGGGCGAACCAATTAGGACTCCGTCTGTGTCTACAGACGTATGTATGTATGGTACAGTTTGCTCGATCGGATCATGGAACGCTTCATTAACAGTCCGGTTGTGTCATTGCGTGATTAGTTACACTTCTCTAGACACTTAGACTGTGGAACTGTTTCCCTCCATTTTTGATACCTGGAGGTGTATGAAGCCACTATTCACTCACTGTTTATTGCCCGGGTTGATAACCTTGCAACAAATGCAAGCGTAACAAATGAACCACCAAATCGGACAATGATTGAAGTTCAGTAAACAAAAGATCGATATCGACTCTACTAAAAGAATTCGAATTTAAAATTCATCAAAATACCACTACTGAGTTATCTATAGATACCATTAACAAAGCTATTTATTCAAGCTGTTTATCAACATCACTAGAACCTTGTTAAAAAAAAATACACTGCAGGATCCTGTAGTTTAACCGAAAATGATACAATGGCAGGATATTTTCAGATTTAGACTAGAAATATCTAATATCTTTTAGAAATTGTAGAGGTGACAAACATATTGTAAGAAGTTTTGACAATTAAATATTGTGAAGGATTTGGATGTGACATTCAGGCTCCAACATGATTCTAATTAGGGAAGGCTGATGCTACTTCGTCAATGTTTGACCATAGTGACCACAGCAACTAATTAATAGCATACCTACAATGTGGCATTACTGAAGTGCTAGAGCTAGACTATAATTGCTTTTCCCTTATCATTACATTACATGGTGCCAATGCTACAGAACTAAACAGAAATATTTTTTACCATTCTGTTGTAAATTAGATAAAGTAATTTTGGTCATATCGACCACTTGAGAAAAAATATTAAAGGACCTATATCAACTACCACTTGAGAAAAAAATGTTAAAGGACCAATATCAAAGACTTATTTCAGTACGTTCTTCGTCACTGAAGATATTATGCCAAGTTGTGTTAAACAATTTCCTTTCCTTTTCCTTTTAAAGGGATCTATGAACTACTTTATTGCTTCTTTAGGGGAATCGGGGCAGGTCATAATTTGAAGGTATGCCTTTGATTATCTGTTTTTGTTAACTATTTTCTTGGACGAGCCCAAAAATTTAGAGCGAAACGTTAGAATTTTGCAATAAAGTAATTTATTCACCTAGCCAGTTCAGAATTTCTGGAACTGTTATTTATATATTTCTGGTTTAACTGTATTGAACATTTAGAAGAATCTTATTGTTAATTCAATAATTACAACTTTCGCATTTAATCCATTTCGTTTAAAATTATACGTTGCTTCACGCATCTGCATATCGAACCGTTTACACAAAATCTCTTAGCAAGGAAGTTGGATTTTATACATATGTAATTGTAAGGGGTAGCTAAAAGTTATTCTTCTGTTTAATTTAGTTCACGTGTCCAGTCGGGTCGGTGCGTTCAAGTGACAATCCGATATCGGCTGGACAGTTCAATAAAAGCGGTGAAAATGCGGGTCGTATAGTCAAACTGTTCGTCGAAATTGGTGTTTTAGAATTTGTAATTTGCAGGCGTTAAAGTGCTCAAAGGGTGCGAAAACGTTTCGTTTGCAAGTGACCGGTGCAACTTCAAAGGAACACCACGCGGTCGCGCCACCAGGGCGTGACGTAAACACTCGTGGAAGCCATTGTGGCACAGATGAAGTTTAAATATTCAGGCGCCTTGCGTAGATATTACTCTATCGCAGTGAAATCACAGATAGCATCATTTTTTTCAAAAGGGAACCATTGGCCTGGTGTCAGCTTCACTATATGGACAGCTTGTTTCGCATCCCAAACAAAAACGAGCTGTTCCTTCTGTTTGCTTTTCATTTCTGTGAATGAGAAGTAGCAATGGGCAAAATGCATTTTTAACAGACATTACATATACAGGACCTAAGTAGCTTCCTTATCACTTTGGTGATCTTATTTCAACAGGGGGTTGCGCTCACAAGCTTGATATCCTTTTTAAACAACCTGTATGATTTTTTCATTTCAAAACCTAAACAAACACTGGCCAAACGGTATTGGTGCGATGACATAATAATTCGGGGAGGGAGAAAATACATAAAATTGAGAAATTTTAACTACATAAAAATGTGAGTGAACGGAAGGAGTAGTAGGGATATAAAGCAGGGTCGAGTCGCCTTCAATAAATAGAAGTCACTTCTATGCTCGCGAATGATTAATTTAGAAATTCGAAAAAGGTTGTTAATTGTTGTACGGGTGCGAAACAGGAACGGTGGGCGTGGCAGAAAAGAAAAGATTACAAGCGTTTGAAATGTGGTGTTACAGGCGAATGATGAGGTTACTGTGGATAGGGAAGGTTAGAAATGAAGAAGTATTAGAAAAAATAGGAGAACAGAGGACTCTATGGAATGCAATAAGAAGTAGGCGAGATAGGTTGGTAGGACACCTCAGGCATGAGTGGCTTATTAGAGACATATTAGAAGCAGAAATAGGAGTTAAGAGGAGTAGAGATAGGCCTAAATAAGATTACTGTTCGCAATTAGTTAAGGATTTGGGTTGTTCTAGTTTTAAGGAAATGCAAAGATTAGCTCAGGATAGGAAAGAGTGAAGGTGCGTGTCCAACCAGTCTTAGGACTGACGACCTTATGATAATAAAAAATGTGAGCAGTGTCATAAATGTGTAGGTCTAATTTCTGTTCTTGATAATCCACTTACTCTGTTCTGCTCGAACTACTAAGTGTATTTGCATCTATCAAAACAGAGCAGCTAATACTCATTAATAAGAGTAGCCTATCAGATTTCTCAGTGAAAACCCAACTTTATCCATATCACTTAATGATACTTTACAAAAAGTCAAACTAAATTGAAATTTTCCCTTTAGCACAGCATGTGTTATAAATAGCATTTTAGAAGACTCTTGGTAATGGTAAATATACAAATATCAAAACTTTTAAGTAAAATGGATCTTACCTGTTTATTTAATGTATTTCAGAAGCGGTTAGTGAGTATATTTACGCAAGTGGGTATAATAAAAAATTACTTAATTAACAATTTAATAATTTAAAACAAAACGTAGAATCCGGGAGAAACGATGGTGAATGCCGCCTGTAAAAGCCCAGCACTTCATCCGATGCTTATCTCGGAAAAATTTTCTGAAGTGAGATATGTAGGAACGAACGTGCATCTAT